CTTGTTGCTCAATATTCCGTCAATTCCCTCTCTGGTCCAACACATGAACGAAGGAAGACCCCACAGGTGCTGGCAGACCGCCGGTGATGCGTAAATCCTCCGGAGATGGGGTAAACTGTCCAACTGACTGGACCCCCCAGCGCACGTCCGACCTCCTTGACGTGCTGTCTTAGACTGCTGGTGCCACCACGGTGCGATGACCGGACCCCCCTTCCTTCGTGACGTCATACTTACCAAGAGAGGTTTTCATTGGCTCCCTGTGCCACGTCACTGTCGGTGACCAATCTGGCGCCACTGACGTCACACAGTTTTGGCGGCAAAACGGAGGGGCCAGCGCCATATTGGCTTCCTAAAGGGCCTATACCACAGGCCAAAATACTCTTCTTTTACAAATTTCTCGCCACCTCGAGAACACTACACTCTCCCACATATATCAAACTGATGCCTGCGACGTAGAGAACACTCGGGTAAAGTGGACATGACTCTTACAGCAGGTGTGGGAGAAATATAAGGGGGGGAACACCGTCACAATATATATATATATATATATATATATATATATATATATATATATATATATATATATATATATATATATATATATATATATATATGCCTATACTTGCATAAACCACAAGTGAAGATTAACAATCTTTGGACAACACCCACCAGTGGGCCTCGAACCCAAAAAGCACAACTACCTTCCAGTAGCTGCCATAACAAGTACGCCTTAACCCACTACACCATCAGACCCTACAAAAGAAGTAGAGACTTCGAGATATATATACACCTCAAATATCTCCACTTCCTGAGGGCACTAGACAAGTGAGAGGTTACTATGCGTTTTTCATCAAGCCACTGTTAATATGAGAGAACTCGTGTCCATGCTATAAGCCTATACTTGCATAAACCACAAGTGAAGATTAACAATCTTTGGACAACACCCACCAGTGGGCCTCGAACCCAGAAAGCACAACTACCTTCCAGTAGCTGCCATAACTAGTACGCCTTAACCCACTATGGCAGCTACTGGAAGGTAGTTGTGCTTTCTGGGTTCGAGGCCCACTGGTGGGTGTTGTCCAAAGATTATATATATATATATATATATATATATATATATATATATATATATATATATATATGTATATATATATATGTATATATATATATGTATATATATATATATATATGTATATATATATATATATATATACATATACATATACATGTACATGGTGTACATGGTACCTTAACCACTCGACCATCAGTGACCGTACAAAAGACGATGGTAGCCGAACCCTATTTCACCACCGCCCTGACGGCATTGTGATGGTAATCTTGGGCATAGTTATTTCATTAAATCACCTCACTTTGTGGGGCCATGTGAGCAACACAAATGCGAACAAGATTGAATGGTTTCCAAGCATATATGTGCAAGTGAAAACTCCACACCCCTGAAGTGACTCGAACCTAGACTGCCAGGAGCAATATGCAACTCGTTTAATGGTACCTTAACCACTCGATGTTGCCTTAAGGTACCCAGACGCTGCCTTAATCGACTTAGCTACGACATGGTAAAATAATTGCAACCGGAAGTTCAACTGACCTTACTCGTTTGGTTTGTGTCTCGGAGAGGCTGTAGGATCCGAGTAAGGTCAGTAGAACTTCCGGTTGCAATTCTTTTACCATGCCGTAGCTCAGTCGATTAAGACAGTGTCTGGGATCCTCTCAGACGTAGGTTCGAACCCTCGTCACGGAACTTGTGGATTTGTTCATATGATGCATCACGCTATTGTGATTTATGTGTGCAATAAGCTCAGTGATAAAAAATAATAATAATACAATTAAGTCCATGTTAATTAAGAACTTGCCCTCGTCTGTAGCAGGTTGTGTCTACTACATCCCTTGTAATAATTGTGTACGTTTTTACATCAGCCAGACTGGTAAATCTCTTTACACACGTTTAAAACAACATTCATATGCTAATCGTACTGCCCAGCACTTCGTTGCCTTGCATTTATTTACATTCCAGTTTATGTGATCATTCTATCGACTTCAGAGGGGCGAAATGTATTGTTAAAAGTAAAGGTTTTGTTGATCGAAATGTGATTGAGTCTGCTCTGATCAAACAATGTAACAACAGCCTTAATGTAAGCCCTGGTATGTACAAATTACATCCCCATATAAGCTTCAATATAGCACATCAATACAATATAACAACCATTTAACCCCCCCCCCCCTTTTCGTCTCCTTTTATCTGTAGAGATCCCCCTTTCTTATTCTTTTATATAGGTTAATAGGTCTTTATTCTTATGTTCTTGGTGGTCAGGTGTCCTGCCCTGGAGGATATAAGGTTGCCATCCTCGTATTCTTCTTCTTCATTTAAAAATGCTCTGTTGAAGGCGAGTTGAGCCGAAAACGCGTTTAGCATTCCCTATGTTTGTGTTTTTTCCGCATACTTGGATCAGTGTTTTTGTGATCATTGTTGCATATATATGCCTACATCTATATAAATAAAAATGGAATTGTTCGTTTGTGCATAACCGCTAATCTCCGAAAGTTGTTCACCGATTGCTTTGAAATTTTCACAAAATGTTCCATTCGCATTCGAGCAGCTTTTTACTTACATACTATATAGATGTCGCGTCTGTGACGGTAAAAAAACATGCTTTTTCTGAAAAACTGTGTTTTTCATGTGAGGGAAATCTTCGAAACCTCTTTACCGATTGCTTTGAAATTTTGACACAACATTGCATTCGAATAGGCGCATCTTTTTATATATCTACCATATACATGCCTCACCTGTGACAGGATTTTTTTTTTTTTTAAACGTCATCTGTTGGATGTAAGAGCAACACACGCTGTAATCGCTGAAAGTTCTTCACCGATTGCTTTGAAATTTTGACACAACGTTGCATTCAATTAGGCGCGTCTTTTTATATACGTAGTATATAGATGCCACCCCCTGTGACAGGTAAAAACATGTTTTTTTTGAAAAACAGCGCCATCTGTTGCGCTTAATAGCAACATGCACGCTATACTAAATGTGTCACGAATTCCATTTCATTGTTTCCGATTGCATTGATAAATTTTATTTTCATAGATTTCGATATATTTTATTTTTTATTGAATTATTTTGTGTGACATTGTGTTGGAATTGAGTTGTGTTGTTTACCATACCGTTCATTTCGTAAGAATATGTATAGATGCCACACCGGTGAAAGGTAAAATTATGTTTTTCTTGAAAAAACAACATCATCTGTAGCATGTAAGAGCAACACACATGCTATACTAAATATGTTACAATTCCATTTCAGTGTTTCTGATTACATTGATAAATTTTATTTTCATAGGTTTTGATTTATTTTCATTTTGATTAATTATTTTGTGCAAATCACGTTGGAATTGAGCTGTGTTGTTTACCGTACTTTTTATTTCATGAGAATAGTTTAAGTTTTTTATTTTTTTAATATTTTCATTTCATTAATTAGCTGTTTTTCTTCTATTACAGTGATGGGAACATCAGATCACTTGATGTTCCCAATTTTCTGATGGGAACATCAGACCATTTGGGAAGGCATCGGACGAGGAAGTGAGGAATGGTGGGAATGACAAGGGCACGGAAGTGAGAGATGGTGGGGAGGACGAGGGGAACAAGGGAGAGGGTTATGGTGGAGAAGGACGAGGTGACGGGAGAGTTTGGGATGGTGGGGACGAGGGGATGGGGGAATGGAGAATTGTGGGGAGGACAAAGGGACAGGAAGTGGGGCATGCCAGGGAAGGAAGAGGGGATTGTGGAGTAAGGAATGGTTGGCAGGCCGAGGAGACGGCCTATATATATGTGTGTATATATATATATATATATATATATATATATATTATATATATATATATATATATATATATATATATATATTTAGTATAGGTGTGTTGCTATTACCTGCAACAGATGGCGGTGTTTTTCTAAAAAGCATGTTTTTACCTGTCATATGTTTGGCATCTATATAATAGGTATATAAAGAACGTGTGTATTCGAATGGAACGTTGTGTCAAAATTTCCATATAATCGGTGTAGAACTTTCGGAGATTACTGCGTATGTTGTTCTTACGTCCAACAGATGGCGCAGTTTAAAAAAAAATCCTGTCACAGGTGAGGCATGTATATAGTAAGTATATAAAAACATGCGCCTATTCGAATGCAACGTTGTGTCAAAATTTCAAAGCAATCGGTAAAGAGGATTCGAAGATTTCCCGCAAATGAAAAACACATGAATAACATAGTTTTTCAAAAAAAACATGTTTTCCCTGTCACAAACGTGACATCTATTTAATATGCATATAAAAATCTGCTGGGATGCGAATCGAACGTTGTGTGAAAATTTCAAAGCAATCGGTTAAGAACTTCCGGAGATTAGCGATTTTGAACAAAAGAAAATTTACATTTTTATTTATATAGATATATACATATGTCTTACCTTATAGCCAGAGTTGCCTAACAAGCCAAATTTTCATTAAATATTTAGTTTTTCCAAACCTTTTCCATGTGAAATGATGAAGTTTTCATTGACTTATGTATGATTGTAATTGTATATTATTTCAGTAAAAACTAACATAGAAATTTGATCAAACCTAACCTAACCTACTTAGCCTTACCTACCTAACCTATGCAAACCTACCCTAACCTATATTAGTAAGTCAATATGTTCCTTATCAAATTTATTTTTATTGCTAGAAAAGAGACACCCTGAAAAGAAATATTTGAAACAACTCAAATTATTCCGCGTGTTTGGCAAATCAGTCCTTGAATACTAGGCTAAGTAGTGCTAATCTGGATGTACCATGTACACTTGTGTGTTGTACATGTCTGTACCATGTACACCTGTGTGTAGTACATGCCTGTACCATGTACCATTTGCACGTGTATAGTACATGCCTGAACAATGTAAGAAAACGAAAGGTAGTAATATATTAACCAGCAAAGTTTACCACACTGGGGGCAGGTACGGGCGGAGGCGAGCCATCCAGGTGTCGAGCATGGTGAACCTGGTGAGCGTGGTGGTGATCGCGGCGTCTCCCTGGTACGCTGCCGTCCTCCTGGCCAGGCTCCTGCTGGGCCTCTCCACCAGCACCATGCTCCTCCCAGCCTTCAGTCTCGGTGAGTCCTTCATCGTAATTGTTCTACCCCCACACACCCCTGCTCTACCACTATACTCCTCACCCCTGCTCTACTGCCACACTCCTCACCCATGCTCTACTGCCAAACTCTTCATCCCTGCTCTACTGCCACACTCCTCACCCATGCTCTACTGCCAAACTCTTCATCCCTGCTCTACTGCCACACTCCTCACCCCTGCTCTGCTGCCACACTCCTCACCCCTGCTCTACTGCCACACTCCTCACCGCTGCTCTACTGCCACACTCCTCACCGCTGCTCTACTGCCACACTCCTCATCCCTGCACTACTGCCACACTCCTCATCCCTGCTCTACTGCCACACTCCTCACCCCTGCTCTACTACCATACTCCTCATCCCTGCTCTACCACCACACTCCTCACACCTGCACTACCGCCACACTCCTCTCCCCTGCCCAACTGCCACACTTCTCACCCCTGCTTAACTGCCACCCTCCTCACCACTGCTCTACCACCACACTCCACACTCCTGCTCTACTGAGACACTCCACACCCCTGCTCTTCCGCCACACTACACACCCCTGCTCTACTGCCACACACTCCTCACCCCGGCATACCACCACACTCCTCACCCCTGCTCTACCGCCACACTCCACACCCCTGCTCTACCGCCACACTACCCACCACTCCTCTACCACCACACTCCTCACCCTTGCTCTACAGCAACACTCCTCATTCCTGCTCTACCGTCACACTCTTCACCCCTGCTCTACCACTATACTCCTCACCCCTACTCTACCGCCACATTCCTCACCTCTGTTCTACTGCCGCACTACCCACCCTTGCTCTGCCACCACACTCCTCACCCTTGCTCTACCACCACACTCCTCACCCCTCCTCTTCTACCACACTCCTCACCCCTACTCTACCATCACACTCCTCACCCCTGCTCTACCATCACACTCCTCACCCCTTGCTCTACCACCACACTCCTCACCCCTACTCTTCTACCACACTCCTCACCAATGCTCTATCATCACACTCCTCACCCTGCTCTACCGCCGCACTCCTTACACCTTTTCTACCACTACACTCCTCACCCCTCCTCTTCTACCACACTCCTCACCCCTACTCTACCACTACACTCCTCACCCCTGTTCTACTGCCACACTCCTCACCACTGCTCTACTGCTGCACTCCACACCCCTGACCTACTGCCACACTACTCACCCCTGTTCTACTACCACACTCCACACCCCTGCTCTACCGCCACACTTCTCACCCTGCTATACCACTATACTCCTCACCCCTGCTCTGCTGCAACACTCCTCACCCCTGCTCAACCGCCACACTCCTCACCCCTGCTCTTCCGCCTCACTCCTCACCCTTACTCTACCGCCACACCCCTCACCCCAGCTCTACTCCCACACTCCTCAGCCCCTGCTCTACTGCCACACTCTTCACCCCTGCTCTACTGCCACACTCGACACCCCTGCCCCTACTGCCCCACAACTCACCCTTGCTCTACTTCCACACTACTCACCCCTGCTCTTCCGCCACACTCCACACCCCGGCTCTACTCCTACACTCCACACACCTGCTCTACCGCCAAACTACACACCCCTGCTCATCCACCACACTCCTCAGCCCCTGCTCTACTGCCACACTCCTCAGCCCCTGCTCTACCACCACACTCCTCACCCCTGCTCTACCTCCACACTTCTCGTCCCTGCTTCACTCCTCACCCCTGCTGTACCACCACACTCCTCACCCTTACTCTACCACCACACTCCTCACTCCTGTTCTACCGCAGCGCTCCTCACCCTTGATCTACCACCACACTCCTCACCACTGCTCTACCGCCACACTCCTTACCCCTGCTCTACTATAACACTCCTCACCCATGCTCTACTGCCACACCCCTCACCCTGCTCTACTGCCACACTCCTCAGCCCCTGTCCAACTGCCACACTCGACACCCCTGCTCCTCCGCCACACTCCACACCCGGCTCTACTCCTACACTCCACACACCTGCTCTACCGCCAAACTACACACCCCTGCTCAACCACCACACTCCTCACCCTTGCTCTACCGCCACACTCCTCACTCTTGCTCTAACACCACACTCCTAGCCACTTCTCTACCACCACACTCCTCACTCCTGTTCTACCGCAGCACTCCTCACCCTGATCTACCACCACACTCCTTACCCCTGCTCTACTATGACACTCCTCACCCCTGCTCTACCACCACACTCCTCACTACTGCTCTTCCGCCACACTCCTCACCCCTTCTCTACCGCCACACTCCTCATCATTGCTCTTCCACCACACTCCCCATCCCTGCTCAACTACCACACTCCTCACCCCTGCTCTACCACCACACTCCTGACAGCTGCTCTACTGCCACACTCCTCATCCCTGCTCTTCCGCCACATTCCTCACCCCTGCTCTACCGCCACTCTCCTCACCCTTGCTCTACTGCCACACTCCTCACCCCTGCTCTACTGCCACATTTCTCACCCCAGCTCTACTGCCACACTCCTCCCACCTGCTTTACCACCACACTCCTCACCCCAGCTCTACCAACACACTCCTCACCCTTTCTATACCACCACACTGCTCACCCCTTGCTCTTCCGTCACACTCCTTACCCCTGCTCTACAGCCACACTCCTCACCCTTGCTCTACCCCCACACTCCTCATCCCTGCTCTACCGTCACACTCCTCACTCCTGCTCTACCGCCACACTCCTTACCCTTCTCTACCACCACACTCCTCACCCCTGCTCGACTGCCACACTACTCACCCCTGCTCTACTGCCACACTCCAACCCCTGCTCAACTGCCACACTACTCACCCCTGCTCTTCTGCCACACTACTCACCCCTGCACTACCGCCACACTCCACACCCCTGCTTTACTGCCACTCTCCACACCCCTGTTCTACTGCCACACGACTCACCCCTGCTCTACTGTGACACTACTCATTCCTGCTCTACTTCCACACTCCACACCCCTGCTCTACCGGCATACTCCTCACCCCTTCTCAATACCCACTACCCTCCTCACACCTGCTCTACCGCCAAACTCCTAACCACTTTTCTACCGCAACACTCTTCACCCCTGCTCTACCGCCACACTCATCATCACTGCTCTACCGCCACACTACTCAACCCTGATCTACCCCCCCCACTCCTCATCCCTGCTCTACCACCGCACTCCTTATTCCAGCTCTACCGCCACACACCTCACCCTTGCTCTACCGCCACACTCCTCACTCCTGCTCTACCGCCACACTCCCCACCCATGCTCTACTATTACACTCCACACCCCTGCTCTACTGCCACACTGCTCACCTTTGCTCTACTGCCACACTACTCACCCCTGCACTACCGCCACACTCCACACCCCTGCTCTACTGCCACACTCCACACCCCTGCTCTCCCGCCACACTCCTCACCTTTGCTCTACCGCCACACCCATCACTCCTGCTCTAATGCCACACTCCACACCCTGCTCAACTGCCACACTACTCACCCCTGCTCTACTGCCACACTACTCACCCTACTCTACTGCCACACTCAACACCTCTTCTCTACTGCCACACTCCTCACTCCTGCTCTATTGCCACACTCCTCACTCCTGTTCTACAGCCACACTCCACACCCCTGTTCTACTACCACACTACTCACCCCTGCTCTTCTGCCACACTTCACTCCCCTGCTCTACCGCCACACTCCTCACCCCTGCACTACTGCCTCACTCCACATCCCTGCTCTACCACCACACTCATTACCCCTGCTCTACCACCACACTCATTACCCCTGCTCTACAACCACACTCCTCACCCCTTCTCTACCACCACACTCTTCACCACCTCTCTACCACCACACTCCACACCCCTTCTCTACCTCCACACTCCTCACCTCTTCTCTAACACCGTACTCCTCACCCCTTCCCTACCAACACACTCCTCACCCCTGCTCTACTGCTACACCCCTCTCCACCGCTCTATCGCCACTTTCCTCACAACCACCTCTACTGCCTCACTACTCACCCCTGCTCTACTACCACACTCCTCACCCTTGCTCTTCCACCACACTTCTCATCCCTGCTCTACCTCCCCACTCCTCACCCCTGCTCTACCACCACACTCCTCACTACTGCTCTTCCGCCACACTCCTCACCCCTTCTCTACCACCACACTCCTCATCATTGCTCTTCCACCACACTTCCCATCCCTGCTCTACCACCACACTCCTCACCCCTGCTCTACCACCACACTCCTGACAGCTGCTCTACTGCCACACTCATCACACCTGCTCTACCGAGACACTCCACACCCCTGCTCTACCGCCACACTACCCACCACTCCTCTACCACCACACTCCTCACCCTTGCTCTACAGCAACACTCCTCACCCCTGCTCTACCGTCACACTCTTCACCCCTGCTCTACCGCCGCATTCCTTACCCCTGCTCTACTGCCACACTCCACACCCCTGCTCTACCGCCACACTACCCACCCCTGCTCTACCATCACACTCCTCACCCTTGCTCTACCACCACACTCCTCACCCCTGCTCTACTGCCACACTACTCAACCCTGTTCTTCCACCACACTCCTCACCCCTGCTCTACAGCCACACTCCTCACCCTGCTCTACCACCACACTCCTCACCCCTCCTCTTCTACCACACTACTCACCCTTGATCTACTGCCACTCTCCTCACCCCTGCTCTACCACTATACTCCTTACTCTTGCTCTACCACCACATTCCTCACCCTTCTCTTCTACCACACTCCTCACCCCTACTCTACCACCACACTCCTCACCCCTACTCTACCACCACACTCCTCACCCCTACTCTACCACCACACTCCTCACCCCTCCTCTTCTACCACACTCCTCACCCCTACTCTACCACTACACTCCTCACCCCTGATCTACTGCCACACTGCTCACCCCTGTTCTTCCACCACACTCCTCTCCCCTGCTCTACCGCCACACTTCTCACCCC